ATGCCAGGTTGACATACATTTCGCGAAATGAAATTTTAAAGGATTTTCCAGGCAGCTACTGAAACTGAAAACTGAAACGACTTTACACACCAATATGCGCTGCCAAACTTTAATATTTATTATCAGTTTATTGGATTGAATATCATCTAAGCCTGGAACTAGAGCCCGAGAGTCGCACTCAACTTATCAAAAGTGCACGCAAAACTTTTTCCTCAAGGGATATCCCACTTGGCCTGGCCAACAGCCACCTCTCCAGGATTCTCCTGCTCCTCCCCCACTGCACCTTGTTGCCGGCGCGTTACGCCTCTTTTGTTTGGCTTTGATTTAACATTTTGTCCGTTTACTTTGCAGTTTAACAGGCGGCAGACGCACGACAGGAGCAGGCTGTTGTTAGCCCCAATCCTTTGGGCCAACTCCCACCAGGACTCCAATCCCAGCAACAGCTCCTCGTCCCCATCCTACATAGTACCATTTCCCGCTGCCTGCATTTTTCTACACTTTTCACGTTGGCAATTTCATTTCGCCCGGGTCTCCGTGGGAGTTCAAGCTGAAATGTGCTTTTGCCATTCGCCACTCTTTACTCTCCGCTTCGCTGTCTTCTTGGTACTCAGTAATTGTTCGAGGAAAAGGAATGATGGAATTATGAGAAACTTGGTAATACATAGATGATATACAATTTGATATAAAAGGATATTTATATAGTTAATATATATGGGAATTTATTGGAATTTAAATTCACGGAAAATGAGTTAACTTTTCGTTAAGGTAATATGGTAATTTAACTTTAAAGAAGTTTGGCAAACTATAAAAGGATGAACTAATGTAGCTTCTTCCAAATCTATACTTCTATGTGTTAAATCATAAAACAACATTTCAATGGGTTTAATTATAACATACAATCTAGTGAGCATCTCTTGGTCAAAACCTACAATCTCTATGTTCTTTTCCCTGCTCCTTTTTTTTTTTGTGTGCATCCTCTACAATGTCCTGTGTGTGCCTGGCTACTTGGCTACCCGTGTCCCGTGGCCACCGAGTTCTACGCGTAACTTGACTTTACTTCGACTGGAGCTCAAAGTGAACAGAAAGTGAAGCTATGTGCCACACCCACCCCCAATCTGGAGTCCTTCTCCACCTTCCACTCCTCCGAAACAGCTACTGGAGAGAGTTGACAACTTTTTTTTGTCGCTGTCGCCGCGCTGTTTTAGTTTCAGTTTTTTAAGTATAGTTGGTTTTAGTTGCTGCTCCGCTATGTTTTCATTTTCCAACCCCCCTAGATTCTACTGCTTTGTGCCGTCGTCATGTTGCACAAAGTTAAATGTTCCTGCGCAGCCGGGCGGCACAAATGCGAAATGGCAACAAACAATTTGAGGCAATAAAATAAAGAGAGCATATGAAGTGGGTGGGACTGGCGCAACTGCGGGGCATAATATCTGGGAAATAAAAGCGAAATTGAATTGTAAAATTTTTATTGTGCTCTCAAGCTAGCTAGCTCTAGTCGCAGCCATTAGCCGGGTTCCAGTTTTAATTCCCGTTCATTTCGATCCTGGTCCTGTAGAACAATGGCCGCCATTCAGGACTCCGTTGCACCGTTGCAACTTAATCAAATGGCCAACTGGAAATTCTCGCAAATAATAACTCCAAGCTTATCCAGGACAAGCTTCTCGTTCGATCCCGGCAACCCAATCTGCTCGCTGCACTCATGGGGAAATCTTTGCTCGCTGCTCGCTTTGTGCAACAATTACATGTTTAATTAACTTTTTGTTATGACTGGCCACTGGTTCGACTTGCCCCACCTCTCTGGTCCTGGCTCGTCTAATTAGAAAAGTGCAACAACTGTCGGTTGGATTGCTGAATTAAATAACCCGCTGGCCAAGGGGTTCGGGGCGAGATTGCAGTGCGAAAGGCTAAAGCTGCTGCCACATCAAAGGATGTGTGTGCTGCTCAGCTCGGCTCGGTCAAATTTTAATTTAGGTTCTGTATGCAAATGACCCTAAATGTTGTATAACAATTGAGGGAGCGTACGAGATTTTTGGCTACATTCTTGGTCGACAAATTGTTATGAATGTGTGCGGGTGTCTACGACCGAGATATGTTTGTGTGCCCGGGGCTTAGTCCTTTAGTCCTTAGGCCTGACATGTGCAACTGCAAGTTACAGTTGCCATTTGCGGAACTATGTCATGGCATCACGTGGCTTTAGAGCCTTAAGCCCGCAAGGACTCTGGCCCAGCAGGAGGCTTGTCTGCCTCTTTGAGTGTTCAGCCATAGGCCTGAAGGACTGAAACTCAATGATTAGTGCAGCCCGGAATAGGATTTTCCAGCACTAATTGTCTGGAATTTTCTTCAGATCCCCGCTGCAAGTGCGCAGGGATTATGTAGGAAATCAATGGGAAGCTATGTTTGCTGCCAGACAATGTGTATATATCAGTATTATGGGGATGCTCTTCAACTATTTTATATATATTTAATTGCATATAAAAAGGCCTTAAAATAAATATGATATTGCACAGAAAAACTTTAAATTCATGCATATTTCGCAAATAAGCACATTCCATGTCGGATTTTATTTTTCAAAAGTTCAACTGTTGCTGTTGGCCGGCATAAAAAATACTCTTAAATTCGCCTGTTTATAAAGTCAGCAACGACTTAAGTATGCAAATCCTCGACAGCGACAACAACTGCCAAAGATTAATGAAAAACTTTTGGCATTTTTTTGGGTAAAAATTTTCATGGGCTGAATGTGATTTTGCAGCCAGTGAAAGAGAGAGAGAGAGAGAGAGGGGAAAGCTTTAAGAGGAATTCCCGCATCCCTGGCAGGCGGCTCTTTAGCATACGAAACGAGGCAGGACATGCACGAAAGGAGCTGACAGGAGCCGTGGGCAAGCCCAGTGCCCCGCAGGTGGAGAAGGCGGCAGGTCTGAGTCAACTGTTTATTTATTTATTATGCGGCCAACACTAAACTGTAACTAAAAACAAGATTCCAGCCAACACACGATGTCTACACATGTCGGGCCAAAAGGATCGAGCCACCGAGCGGGCGAGGACACGGCCGAACATCTCCGGTTGACGTTGACGCCACTTTGATATATTATGCACGCTTGAGGCCAGCAACAAATAATCAAGTATCAAATTCCACACGGAATGCTAACGAAAGCACACTCACATACACCCCCCTGATTTTTTCCCAGCCACAAGGGAGAAATCCTGGTTTTTGGGGCTGCTCTGCGATGGCTGCCGTCTTAAGCTGTCAGCCAAATGAGGGCAGGCCGCAATTTTCCAAGCACACACACACGGCTACGGAGCAGGTATCCGCTTGAGTTCTTTAGCTTGAGGTCATGCACCAAGAGAAAATTATATACTAAAAAAAATAAAGCTAAATTTTGTAGAAAGGATCTTAGAAATACTTAGAGGAAACTGCTTATTACAGAAATTAATATAAGTTGTATAGCTTAAGCTATCTAAAAGTACTTGTCCACTTGTCCAGAGTAGAAGAAGTTTAGAGTATATAAACATATCTAATAGGTTGTATTAATTGTTCTAGATATAAATATAATATCACTTAGAAAACCACCTTATATTTTCATCACTTTCCTTATAAAATAAAACCAATCTGTTGTTCTTCCTGTGTGCCTCTGTGTGGCTTGTGTTTATGGCGCGTGTGGCAAATGAACAATCAGGCTGCCCCACATGGCAACATCTTTCGGTGGCTGGCCAACCGTGTTTGCTCGAGTCACAGACCTGGTCAGGATGCAGTCCAAATAAATTTCAAGTAGGCTTAAAATTTTCCACTTTTTCGCCCCGGCAATTGCTCCTTAGCATTCAATGTAACCGCAGAAATTCATATACAAAAATAACACGAGCGATAAGAGGGCAAAAAGTGCCATGAATAACGGCAGCGTAGGAAATGCGGTCGAGGGAAAAGCCATCGGGGAATCGCGGGGGCGAGTGAGTAAGTAAAACGAATTCTATTTAACATTTTGGGTGAAATTTGCGCAATTTTTTTTTGTTTGCTGGGGGCGAGTATTTACTCAGCCCTCCCGCAAAATATAGAAATATCAACAAGGACGGAGGCCATGGAGGAGAAGCTGTGCCTTTTTGTGACGCACTCGAGGGGCAGATGATAAATGTCCTTGCCAAGCCATGAAATGAATGAAGTATGGCCACGCATTTATGTGTGGCCGAAGGCAAACAGGCAGAATTTCCCGGGCAAACAAAAAGGAAACCTGACAACAGATAGGGAGAGAGAGAGAGAGAGGGAGACCAAAAATCACAACAGGCGGAGCAGGACGAGGCGGAGTTCTTGTCCTGGCGACAGTCGCTTTTCTTTGAGGCCGCCGAAACACTTCCACGGACTAGTGGGCCACTCACCCAGCGGCCAGGACTTTCTGGCCAACTCAGAGCCAATCGCCAAAGCGGCAAAAACCAAAACCAAACGAAGCCAAAAAGGGGGAAAAAACGAAAAGCAAGGAAATCGAGCAGCAAAAGAAAACTCTTGACAAACTGAACTGGCGCTGCTTGTCATTCATCGCGCTGTCAGCTCTCTTTCTGGATTGCACTGGAATTTTCAGTCTCTCGGGCTAAGTTTCGAGGGAAAGTTTTTTTTCGGTCAACTACACGCACACACACACATAGCCATGGCCAAGGACTTTGACCAGCTGAAAGTTGTTTTGGTATATTTTTTTTCTCCTCTGCTCCTCTGTGTCCTCCTTGGCTTCAGTGAGATATATCCTCGCTGAATCTTGACTTTTCCCCCTCGACTGCCCTCTAGCCCTGCAAAGCTGATTTTTTAGCTGCTTTGATGCCTTTTAACTGGGGCCTTCGTGTTTGTATTCATGTTGTGGGCGTGGTCGCAGCTGTTGCCGCCGCCCTTCCGCTTGGCCCGGTCAATCTGATGGCCAAATTGTTTGGGTTGGCCCTGCTTTAAGACCAACAATGTTTTCCTAACTTAAAGGCCGACCAAAAGAAGGTGCTTTGAAAATAAATTAAATGGGTCATCAACTTACCAGCTAGAAGTAAAAGTAAGGCTGTAAATAAAGAAAAACAAAATAAACGTTTAATGAAGAAATAATAAACCAAAGGTATATTAAACAATTAATTATGTAAGGTTAATACAACTTAAAGTAAGAAAATGATGAAAGGAAAATAAACATTTGTAAACTAAAGAAGAAGGTTATACTATAATAATAAAGTATGAAATATGAATTCAATTCACCTTTATTTTATATTATTGGTAAATACATATAATAAAATTTAAATAAGGCTTAAGAAACACTTCAAAATTCAAATATAAATAAATGATTAATTGAGAAAACTGTTAAATTGAATGTGTTAGAATAACTATTTGTTTTTAAGTACGTGTAACTTTATAAAAGAAATCCTCTGCAAACACTTGATCCTCAGTCGAATAAATTTAAATAAGCTTTTGAGTGACATAAACAGAAACCCATAAAAAGCCCCTCAGAATTATATAAAATATTTCCACTTGAAAAGACTCCAATCAACAATTGCAAATGAAAATCAATCAAGTTGCCAAACTGTGTAGAGAATATTTTGTAGTTTGCCAAAGATTTGCCAAAAACCAGCATAATTGAAAACTTGTCGGAGGCAGAACTTTATGGTCTTGGGAAATCTGAGGAAACAACTTCATCCAGTGCGTGGTCGATGAACAAAACCAGTTAGCAGGCCGACTTGACGGGCTGAAAGATCCTGTAAATCTGGCGTTAAATCCTTTTGCGAAAGTTCGCAAGACACCAGCTTAGATATAGACATCTGAATCGAAGTTTACAGTGTTTTGGGCCGAAACTTAACTCATCAGATATGCCTCTAAATAAGCATTTATAGAGCTGCGATGCGGCAACCCAACTGAACACTGGTAAAGTTTTACCCCAAAAACAGACAACAAGGAATCGGAGCGGCAAGCCAAACATAATTTCCAAGTTTCTGCCCAAAATGTTGAGTAGGTTGTTTTTCGCAGAAATGCGATAAATACTTTTCCTAGCTGGCTTAGCCGGCAAGCGGCCGGAACTACTCCAGAGGCAGAGTTGGAGCCAAAGTCAAAGTCAGAGGCAGAGGCAAAGGCAAAGGCACACAGCCAAGGGCAGTGCAAGTGGACATGGAAGTGAAGATGGAAGTGGCGGCGTGTGGCAAAGTTAACTTGGAAAACATTAAAATGCCAAAGTAAAAAGTTTCGGCTGGCTGGCTGGCTGGCGCAACAACGAAATTCAATTGAAAACATATAAAATCTGAATTTATGAAGACCCCCCGCCCCATATGCCCAGGCCGGCAATTTGCGTCAGTCGAAAACTTTGGCATCAAAAAGGCCGAGCGAGCAACTGGAACAATATGCATTCGGGATTGAGGACCAAGCAGGACCAAGGACCTCCGCCCAAGGCATGCCGGAATGCTGCACAGTTTCTCTACTCGAAAGATTGTTCATGTTACACATGGCGTATGCGTGATCTGGCGGATCGCTTGTGGGTTAATTGAGATGGAAACGGAACCAGCTAATAGATAACTATTTCCAGACCTGAGCACTCACTCTTTCCTTTCCTTTGGTGCCTCTGACAGCAGGCCCAAATGTCCAATCTGGTTGCAAAACTTTTCGATGGGCAAAAAACTTTGCCAAGTTTGTTTCGCTCTTCTGTGGCTTTCATCGCACTTGAGTTGGAGCCACTGCCTTGGGCTTATTTATTAGCAACATTTTATTATTTGCCAACGAAAGTGATGGCCCTGAACGAAAGTTCTTGCCACAATTCAGCCACCAAGGGGGACGATTAGAAGGATTTTCGAAAGCTCTGACTCCACCATGGATCGCAGTGAAATCAATTTCAAATCCATAACAATTTGGCATAATTTGCACGCATAAAACCGAAAATTTCATTTACTCAATAATGCAGCGACAAAGGCCTCTCTTTGTCAGCCCACAAAGGCAAACGCAAACGCAATTTCTTTACACTCAATAAACTTTATGTTGATTGAATAAAAGTTGCGTCAGGCACACACACAGTTACACACACTCGCATAAACACAACCACGAACACGCATACATAGAGCAAGAGCGAGAGAGAGTTGCCTAATGGCAGTAAAACTTTTCATTTTAAATTAACTTTAAGCACAAAGGAAAAACTGACAACATCATTAGTTCGATATGGGCACAGCAAAGTGCTATTTTTTATGTTTTGAACTATTAGAATAACTATTATGAAAGAGAAATAATGATACTATTAGTAGTCAACGGAAACCGTAGGATATATAAAATTCTTTCATTGATCTGTGATAATTGTGTCCTTATAGTTTAAATATATGTATTGAAATTACTAATCAATAATCAATAATATATAAAAAGGAATGTTACAGGATATCATTACAGTATATAGAGAATTTTAATACAAATTCTATAGCATACTTTGGAACGCATCTTTTAGGGTTTAAAAACCGCAATATATCTAAAGCTATATTTGTTTTACATTATAATTGAATATATACTTCGAATTGATGTAGTTTATTATAGTAAAATCTAAACAATATTTCTACCTCTCCAATAAAATATTTGATTTATTTCAAATAGATTTGCAAGCCTTTCTATTTTTTAAGTTTATTATCAACAACATTGAAAATATAAATTTCCTGCGCAAAACTTAAATGAATTATCTTAACATTGTTTCCTTCATCACATATATTCACAACATGAATTAAAACATTTTTTGTACTTCTTTTCAGGACCTATACATTGTAATAAAGGCTGACAATTTTGAAAGGACACTTCCCCGCCAGGCTCAATCGATTTCAGATGCCGTTAAAAAAATCCCAGAGATATGAATATGGCTGCAATATATATAAATATATAAAAAATGACACTTACCGTTCTCCTCCTCAATGTTGCGTGTCATTGTCGTCGAGGAGCTGACGCGGACGCGGGATGCCGCTGCCGCTTGGCCATTCAGTGCGGACAGCAGGACGACGAGCAGGAACAGCGGCAGGACGAGCGAGCGGCTGCAGGGCCGGCTCATGCTCATGGTGGCCCAGCCCTCGAGGTGAAAGTGTGTGTGTATGGACGAGGTGCTTATGCGGGCAGTGACTGCAGGGATCCTTGATCCTGGCGCGACCGACGTTGCCTACTTTCCGGCTCAGAACTCTTTTACACTTGGCACTGCGCGCATTTTTGGTTCTTTCGAGGGAATTATTTATGCATGAATTTGATTTAAATTGTTTCGCAATGGCTGCTAGTGAGTGAGACAGAGAGAGTGGGAGAAAGAGAGAGAGGGATAGACAGAGTCAGCAAATATTTGTTGACATGTCAATAAATAAAGTAAAAACAAAGGCGAGTTAAACAAAATAAAATACAATTCCATGCCATTTTGGGTAATTGCAGTTTGTTGCCATTGCCATTGCTGGTTGCTTCTCTGCTGGAAATTCATTTAATTGCCTTTATTTTCGGTTTTGGTAAATTTGTAAGCAAATTCATTGCACTTTCGCCCGGTCCAACATGCAAACAGACACACTCTCTCTCTTACCGACACACAAAAACATGCGAAATGTAATTTATGTGATTTTTACAAATTTTATTGGGTTAATTTGTTTGTTTTAATATTTATGGCAATTTTAAGCGAGCGTTATTTATGCGACTGCAATTGTTAATTCACGCCGTAAAATCAAATCGAATTACACAATCAACTGCAGTGCCGCCAGGCGGCAGTAATTTTGGGCCAATTAAAGCCAGGCCTTTTGGACACGGAAATAAATTTGTAGAAATGATGTCTTGGGGGAGACAGCTACAAATCACATCGCATTTAGCCGTTTTGTCAACCGCACGACAGCACGTACACCTCAATATTTTAAAACATATTTCCCTCTTCCGTTTGCGAGGCTCTTTTAATTAAAGATTATTTATAACTCGCAGCGAACAGTGAGAAATCATTTCGAATGCCGCCTGCGTACATATTTGTTATAATTTATGTGCCCCATATAAATGACTAACAACACACGGCCCACTGGCAAAGGACGCGCCAAGGAGATGGCAGTAGAAATGGAAGAACAAGGATGTGGAATAGATGGCAGCCTGGCATTCTGGCATCCTGGCGAAACATGTGCCAAAGTATCCGCGCGTGTAGATCTTTAAACGGGGAGCCGAGTCCGGGTACGGATACTGGGTTCTGGGTTCTGGGTTCTGGGTTCGGCTTCGGGTCCGGAGGAACGTGCCGGCATCAAAGTTCAATATGACGATGATGGCAGTAGCTGAAGAAGAAGCTTCCCGCTGAAGAGCTAACGAGTGCAAATTTCTCTTCGGATTTCTTGTTCTTTTTTCCCCGCCTCGGTCTGCCAGCAGTGCTTTTACTTTTACGTTGCGAAAACCCAATAAACGATAAACAGGAAAGCGGAAATCGGAAACTGTATACGCTCATGTTTCTAGACTACATACACTGGCTCAAATAACTACACTACACAAACTCACTGGAAATATAAGGGCTTTAAGAAGAAAATTTTAGTCTTTAAGGGATATACTGTGGCCTATATTTTACAAAAATTGAGAATTTACAAACGCTATTTAAAATCTTCATGAAAAACTTATATAAGAATATTTAAAGAAAAAGGATTCAAAGTATGAAGATACTTCATAATCACTTCAGTAAATTTAATTGTAAGTAAAGATCCCTTACATGTACATTCTAAAAAATGTGTCATAGATTTATTCCAATAAAAAGGTTCTTCATAATTATTTTTTCCTCTGCATTTACACACACTCGTCGCCACAGAATTGAGGCTTTGGGTTTGCGACGTGCTTTTATGATATATTGACTTGCTCGAGCACGGTTTTTATCGACAACATTACAGGACCAAATGCTTTTAGCCGGCTGCACTAATTTTATTTCAGCTCCCAAAGTTTTTTTTTATGTATCTTTTAGGTTGGACGTGAATATAAACCGAAATAAACTATTGGGACAGCGGTGACCCCGCGACCGCAGCTGACAGGTGGCGGAGTGCCCACTTAATCTTGTTTTTTTAAAGCGGCGTTAATAAATCTGTCTAAATGTATTTACAACGCAGCGCAGTGCCTGCAAATGGATATTCATGCCGATAAAGTGAAAATATTTGTAAATCGTTTGTCAATAGAGGCGGAGTGGTATGTATTTCATAACGAAGTCCTGTGGCAGAGTGAAAAATAAAATACGCCCGAATGCGTATAAAAATCTAATCGGTAAATAACCAAACATTCGAGATGCAGTTTGGGATATGCGATAAAACTTTAATTGAATCGAGAAATGAAAGCTTTAATTAAAAGCGCATGCTAAACAAATGCTCTTGTGGAGTTAATTAAATTTACATTCAAATGGGAGAGCCTTTAATGTTGGAAATCGGTCTTAAATTAAATATGAGCCACTCAAAATCCATTTACCCAGAGTCCCGGCCAAACTCTGGAAATCAGTTTACCGAATGGCTTATGCAAGGATGGAAAAACTTGTGTGCAGCCAATAAAAGGCGCTCCCAATAAAATGTGAGTCACATTAGCTAATGCAAGCCGAGGGCCGAAGGTGAAGGGTTTTTCCCCAGCGCAACGCTGCGTATACGTAACCTCGATGGGCACATTGTGCCAGTTTCGCCTACGATCGACATGCACTTCAATTTACAAACTTGTGTGAGTATCTGAGCGGGAAGTGGGTGTGTGTGTGTGTGGGGTGTGTGTGTGTTGTGTGTGTGTCGATGAGTTTTCCGGCTGCAGCTGCGGCAAAGTGTGTCGACGTTTTTCCATTTCCGGCATGCAAGTTTGCGTTACACCACCCCCACCGCTCTTATTCCCCATTCGCTCTCTTTTATTTTGTAATGTAATGAAGTGTGTTTGCATTAAAATGCAATTTGAAGTGCAAAGTTACAATATTATTATGGCATCTACAAGTGCATGTGTGTGTGCTTGCATCAAGGAGAGCCCTTGAGCAGGATACCTGCCTGGCATTTTTTTCGCGCGCGGTTTATGTGCGCTAAGTGAGCCTATAAAAAGCCATGCATGGCTGCCTCGTTTCGCAAGGGTTCAAGTGCAATTTTATGAATACTAAAAATTCTAATGGCCGCCAGTGTGTGTGTGTGTGTGTGTGTGTGTGCTCAGGGAGGAGGGGGCACTGAACTGGGCAGCAATCAGAGCGTTCAACACTTGGCGCCATCATCAGCATCATCAACGTAATCATCATCGCCCCAGCAGCTGTTTCCTCCCCGGGCTCTGCTAATTGTGCTGCATACTTGGGTGATCCTGCTTGGTTGGCCTTCACACCCAATCCCCGTGGAGTGCCCCGGAGTCCAACTGATGAGCGTTTTGATATGCAAATAAACGCTCGGTCTCCAGCTGTCCGCAGAGTTAATTGCGTATTAAAATTCACTTCCACTCGCATTTCCATGCCGAATTGATGCACTTTGTTCTCGACGGCCCCAATAAGTTTGTTTATGTTGTATCGTGTGTCGTTTATACATTGCTTTTGTCGCCAAATCGTGTGGTTATTGTTCCCTGCAATTGCCCATGTTCGTCTGTCGAATTTGTGTCAGAATTTGCAATTAATGGTCTGCACAGCAATTTTGATTCGGCTTGAAATTAGAGCAGCGGGGATTAGGTTTCAAGTGCGAACAATGAAATGAAAACAATTGAAATATGTGCGCTGATCAAAGGGAAATTAATAATAATAACGAGTACTATATGTTGTCATTAATTTAAAGGTATTAAATTTAATATTTAATATATGGTGCAAAACACGAAAATAAATATTTACATTCACACTCAAAAGATAAGTAACTAAAATTATTATTGCAGAGAAATTAATATCTTTATTTATAGATTATATGGCAAATAAATTAAATAAACTAAAACACTTATAAATGTGTTTCCAGGCACTCTATTATAATGGAAATAAATTATTCACACCGAAAAGAGAGCTTCAAGTGTAAAGTACTCATTCCCAACTGATTTAATCAATTGATTTATTACGTTTACTTATCGCCAGCATAAAAACAAAAGTGTTCTCTCAAAACTTAGATCTGAGACTTCAAATTCAATTACATTTAATTTTGTTGCCGTGATGTGATTACGCTGCAAAATCTTGTCTAGCTTTAGAGATTCACACCTCCTTAAACCAATTTTCATGTCGCAGGGCACTCGTCTTAGTCAGTCGTAAAGTTCGTCAACTGCAGCACATTGAATTCCTCACCAACAGCATCAAAGACCTCGACAGTTTTGCCTTTCAAGTGGCATTCATCTGTGTAATTTCATTACACGCACACTTCAGCAATTTAGCAATTTAAACAACAAGGGTGTGGGATTTATTTATCTATTAGTTTATGGCTCGCATTTCACTGCTCTTTGTACGGGGCCTTAATGGCCGTCAAAGGCCAGCAATTTTGCACTTATGTGCGAGTGCCGTGAAATATGATGGCCACCACAAGAGCATTGCATTGCGAAACAAAAAACAAACCAACCAAACGCTGCTGCTCATATAAATAACTAAAGCGCTCAACAATAACCATTCTCGTGAAATTTGTATGCGAAAATCTATTCCAACAGCAAGTGAAAGAACCCGAGAAAAAAAAAACCAGCGCCGAAACGAGCTCAGCTGAGCGGGGAAATCGTTTTATCTGCCGGCCATGCGGCACAGCAAGAACCAAGGCACTCGGCCATATAGCTAGATATAGCTCATAGCATATAGCCGGAGAAGTAGAGGCACCTCACACCCCCTTTCCCATCTAACTGGCGAAATAATCCAAACGAGAACGACGACGGACGACGCTTTTCAATGGAAATGATTTTCATTGAGGGCACTGCACTGCAGTCAGATCAGTCTCAAATCGCGGATTTAGTGTTCCAGCAGCGGCAGCGGCAACAAACAACTTAAATAGTAACAACATGGGCAGCTGCTTACGTTGTTGTCACGATTTTTAGCCTGCGACTTCTCTAAACGCACTTTTCCACTAATCAGTTTGGCATTATCCCTTGACCGGTTGGAAATTTACATACATTATTTAATATCTGCACACTTGAACCGAAACGAATTATAAGGGTTTGCGTTTTTGGATTGGCTTTCCGCAGATTTTTTTCCTTTTTTTTGGCCGCACAAACAAATTCGCACTGCTCGCGTCACGCTGTTCAAGTCCCGTCAGTTCCGACCGTACCCGCGGGATCGCAAACTCTCACTGAACCGATTTTTATGGTACACACGCCGGAACCGAGAGGCTGGAGCGCCATGCAGAGCCGCTCGGCAGCATCCGTGCCGAGCTCGGTTACGAGCGACCATCGGAAGTCGCTCACGGCCATCCAATGGGCGAGAGGGTGCCGAGCGAGCCGAGAGAGAGAGAGCATCTCAGAGCACACGATGTGGTCGCCCGAAGCGACTCTGTCACCGGATGCTGTACAATAACAGAGGTCTGTTAAGGCGGCTTACGGTTTTTATAGCAGGCTTTTGGGGGCACACTTCCTGCAACTCATTTTGGAGGAAGAATTTTCGAAATGACAAAAACTTAAAAGACTGGACTCTAGTCACCAGTGTTCTTTTTTTTTGCATCTATACCATGAACCATTGCCTGTGACACTATCTGTCCTGCAGATGCTTTATGGCATCTGGTAATCTTGTTTACATTTCAAATTAGCCTGCGGCAATTCTCTGGCTCACTCTCTCGGCTTCTCTCGTTGAGACGCTTTCGGGAGCATTTTCCCGAGAGCACTTTCTGCACTCTCTGCGGCGCAGCTTGTGCTAAAAACCAGCTGATGAGTGTTCTAAATTTGTCATCTGCTTAGACAAAGCGCGAATTTAAAAATTACTGCCTAATTTTGAAGTAAGTAAAGAGATGCCAAGAAGTAACTAAATGTTGAGCAAATTAAAGTTAAGTAAAGATTACTGTGTTTTAGTGAATAATTGCTTTAGAACGAGTAGGTTAAACTTAGGTTAATACTTATTATTTTCAAGCTAATAATAAGTAAAGTAATATCATTTAATATAATGATCGAATATACATATAACATATATTTTTTATAATTTATGTAAAATTGTAGTCAGCATTTTATTAACAGGTTTTCAACATCAATCAAAAAACAACCTGTTGCTCTTTGAGGATAGCAACATCAATCAGTTGGCGGTGCACTAAAAAACCATGAACGGAGAGAAAATGTATAGCTCTTAAACAAAAAATTACGTTTTTAAATACAAATTTCCAATAAATATTTATCCAATTTTACTCATTATTCTATGGCACATACATAGGTTCATAAACAATTTGTTAAGCGAGTTTACTACAGAGCTCTGTACGTAACAGCCTTGTGCTCTTTATAAAGAGAGTCGAATCTGGCCGAAAAGTGTGCCAAATTTTCAGACTTCTTGCTGAGCTTTTTATGGCTCTGTAAGGCAATGTTAACTGGGCACTGTAAGTAGGCCAAAACAGAGTGTTCCTTGGGGAAGTCCCCGCCCGAAACTAAGACACAGGCGATGCTTTCACTATTTTAAACCCCCGCTTCCACCCTCTCCACACAAGCCCCTCTAAAATATCCTTAATTTACCCCCTCTCCGTTCAAGTCAATTTCCACTTCCGCAAATGTTGGTCAACTGTTTTTTATCAGCTCATAAACATGGCGAACAAGTTCATTTCGGTGTTAAAAGCGTGTTTCCCTCACACACACATGTGTGTGTGAGTGTGTGTGTGTCCATTTTACAGCTGCAGCATACACACACTCGTACACGTTCACACACACACTCTCGTTGGCTGACATTTTTAATAGCAAACACAACACGCAGCGACTTTTGCACATGAAATAATGCTGGCAGAAGTAGTAAGTAGTCCGGTCAAAACCGAACCCAAACAGATGACGCACCCTGGTTCGAGGTCCGAGAAATGGTAAGAACTATTGGTCCTTCGACGCTTTTTTCCTCTAAAAGATTAGATGTAATACCCAGAAAGTCAGGCTTATTTAGCTTAAAAATAAATGAAGGTATATAAATTTATACGGATAATTTCTAAGGGTTCAAGGCATCCACACTGAGCTTATATTGATGGCTTCTTAGAGCAAATAATCTATAAACGTATTTAGTAATGGCAGAAATTTAAATAAAGTAACCAATCTATACAAAAACTGTAATGTTACAAAAACTAAATAGCCAATCCTAAGCGCTTTGTTATAAGCTTCAATGCCAAAAGCCGATTAAAACTAGCATTTGAACGGAATCCAAATTATATAGAATCTAAACTGAAAGGCAACTAGTTGCAAAAAAGCTTAAATGACTCTTTTAATATAATTATTTCTATTCTGTCTATAATGATTGATTAAAGTGACATTTCAACTCAACTTTAACCTCTTTAGTTTAGGCTTTTACAATAAGTTTAAACAGATTTTGATATACTGTTGCTTTCTTCTAATCTTCGTTTATATATATCTTATTTAAATTTGCAAATAAAAGTAAATATTATATTCTCTAATAAAGTAGAATCCACTGTGCCCACACTCTCTCCTCTCCCTCTTGTTGCCATTGTAGTTGTAATGAAAGTGTTTTTTATGAAGTGTTCGCATCCTCGTACGCAACATGCGTGTCCTGATCCTGCTCCCGTTCCTACTTCCCTGTCCTGTTCTGTTCCTGCTGCTGCTTCCGCCGAGTCTCCTGCTCTTCGCGGTGAAATATGACAAAAAGCATGCTACAGCTTCGCTATTTCCGCAGTGCTTGTTGTTGGTTTTTGTTAGCGCTTTAATAGCGAGAAGAAGTCAATGGCAAAACGTCGACCAGCCAAAGGAGTCGCTGGTCCTGCCGCCGTATTGTGTGTGTATAGTGTGTATATAGTGTGTGTGTGCAATAGCAATAAAAATATATTTTACAAACTGCTGCTACTGCTGGTAAAATGCTTAGGATTTTTCCCCTTTTTTATTCTCGTCCCGCCGTATTGTTAGAGTTTTTCTTGCCTGCCTCGCTTTTTGCCGCTCTTTGATATATATGGAAAGCGGCTAACAACATTCGCACTCCCTCCACACACACGCACACATGCAAAACAAGTTCGCTACAACAAATTATTGGAAACCCAAGAAGTTTTCTCCCCTAACTCGTATGGAAAATATAAAAAAAGAGAGCAAGGGAGTGAAAAGCAGCAGGGGGAAAATCTCGCATAAAAAATACGAAAATTGTTCCAAAGTTAGCAAGCCAACAACAAGCATATAAAATGTGTTTTTGCCAGAGTTTTCTCGCCGTTCCGATTACACATAGATATATACAAATATATTTGTGTGTAGTTTTTGGTTGTGGCCGCCACTAAAACGCGTTTTGCTTAACGCGCTCGAATCGCTTTCGGTTTGGTTTTGCCTGCTTTTATTTGGTTATGGGCACAGTTTGTGTCAACCATAACGATTTTCTTTTCAATTTAGCTTTACTGCGTATTTTGTTCTAATTTTATTGCACGTATTAAAATATTTTCTTCTTTTTTTTGTCACCCGCCTGCATTTCCTTCGAGTGTCTGTTAACACATAATTTGTAGCCAGGACTATATATGTAGATATATATCCCCCGGATACGTATATATACGGATATTGCGTGTATACACCAGAGGCTGGTTCCCATTTTGAAATCATGGTCGCTTGATAATATATTTTTTATGATATTTATGGCTCTGACATTTTGCTTAGCTGGCAGGCGATTTATATTTTTTGGCCAACTCTTTTCCAACTCTCTTCCTCCGTGACATTGTTTTAGTTTTACTTTTTATTTTCATTCATCTTTTTGTGTGTGCATTTTTATGTTCCATTGTTGTTGGCGTTTGTGGCTGTTTATTGTTTGTGATATGAGGAGGATCCATGGTCATTCAATGGATTGTCATATTGTGGCAACGTCCTTTTTTTATGCCCGCTCACGTTTCGTCCGGTTTTTTATGGCGGTAAATCCACTAATACACGGGTATTATGCAGATGCTATAGTATACAGCTCTGAATAGGTTTCAAATATTTGCAATATATAAAAATAAGCTGAATACATTCGCTTTACTTTGTTCGTATTGAATTGGATTTCTGAATATTTTTAGCTCGTTAACTTTAGCGTATAAATTGAGACTGAACTATGTTAGAATGATTCTCTATTTTATGGTAGATTTGTATTTGTTTTCAAGTTATTTTAGACATTATTTTAGGTCCTCTAAGTACTATTCCTGCTACCCTAATAAGAGACAAAGCTCTAGTTCTAAGTACTTGAAATAATAATGTTACGTATAGTAGACTATTTTCTAAATTCCAGAAATTATTTCAAGATTTTTTCACACACCTATTTGGTTTGAAATGCTTGTCTGCCACTTTGAGACTTAAAGACCAAACTGGACTTGGTTTTTGGGAACTGCAAATGGATTGGGCGGGCTGGCAATTAAAATTACCAACGGCAGTCTCGACGGAAACATGACTGCATTGTCTCCGCTCAAGTTTGCCTGGAACAACTAGCTCTGGTCGGACGGTCCGAAAATAAAATGAAATTGTTTAAATTTAATTCAATTTGCCTGCTCACCAACAAATTGCCGGCGCACAGAGAGAGGCAAACAATCTGCAATCTGGGCTCTGGGAATTTAAAAATAAAATATGCACAAATAGTTCAAGTGCAATGCCATTTGAAGTCCTTGTCAGTAAACAAAGTGTGAGGACACAGCATCCCGTAGGGAGTGGCTGGCAGGGATTTTCCTGGTATGCACCATTTGGATGTCCTTGCCGGGTGGGTGGGCTTTGGGGGGACGGTGGGGGTACGTTGCATATATTGCCAGTTAGTTAATTATTGAGTCACGAGCACGTACACCCCGCTATGCACGAGTGTGCGTTGGCCTCTGTTTGCCAGTGTCTGGGTTTAACTTAATTAGAGCTGCGCAGCGCTGCATTTTGTGGTCTTCATTTAACGCAGCCAACGGGCCATGGGGCCCCCACCGATCCGCCGTTCCAATCCTCAGGCCTCACCTCACCTCACCTAATCTCACCTCACCTCAGCTCACCTGCCTTGGGTCAGCCGCTTGCTCCCCTGCTGCTCCCCCGCCACTCACCTGCGCTTCCTCCAGCCGGCGTCTGTCTCCGCGGGCGCAAATTTAAAACTGCATACAACTATTTCCGCCAGGGCCGGAGGCTGTCGCTCTG